GGGGAGGGAGGGACGAGAGGGTGGGGGGGTGGTGAAGGGCGGGGGTTGTAATGGTTTCACCCTGGAGGTCGCCAAACGTGTGGCAATGATTTTCTTCTTCACCGCGCCTCCAGAATGTGCAGATGAGTGGATGTACATCGACGGAATGTTTTCATGCATGCTTTCTGTGTCGTGACGAGAGAAACGATGTGTGTCAGAAGAGGGTGGATTCATATTTGAAAGAGATTACCATCTACAACCTGTCATCTGTGTGTGTTGTAGACAAGAGCATTCCAGTTCATTGTGTGTGTGTGTGTGTGTGCGTGCGTGTGTCTGTGTGCGTGTGTGTGTGTTTTCAGCAGTATCCAAGTCATCAGCCTGTAGAGTGTTACTGTATTCTGTGTGTTTCCGTGCTCGGATCATTGTTTTCTGCACCAGGCCGCTGGTTTGGACTCCTGTGGAGCAGGATGGCTGGCTGGCTGGCTGGCAGCCTTGCATCATGTTGTGTAGCAGTGGCCAACTTGTTGCCCTCCTGACTGGGACTTCATCATTCATTGCCTCTAGAAAAACAAGAGCGGTGCAACGCTGCATGCCAAGACACATTGATTCATGACATAATTTCCCTCATCGTGCACAACGTTGTTATTCTGCGGAAGGCTCAAAGCATGAGCTTTTTCTCTTCTGTTCGTGTGATGGGTACAGTGACCTCTGACTCGCACACACCCTCCTGTCCTCCAAGCTGCTATTGCCATGGAAACCATTGAGATAGCATGGCAAAGAGACCTTTCTTAAAAAACTTTACTTGGCACTACCCAACTTGCTTTTTTTCTCTTATTTGTTATGTTTAGTCCCCTAATTTATTTAGGGCATTAAATGAACATATATTAACCCCCTCTTATTGCAGTAATTACCATGCGCCTGTATTGTACTTATAATGCGTTTACGTAGTGTGCTACCTACAGATAAGCACAAATGAGGCCTGAATGACATCCATGTCTATTCTGAAGCCCCAATAAGTGAACCGAGATCTCTAAAATCTTGGTGTCAGTTTCAGAGTACATCTGTGGACTACCCTGAAAGTAACCCTGAGATAATGGTTTGCGTGTGATAGAAAAAGCTCCATTCCTGCCTTTCAGCGTAGGGGAAGAGTTTCCGTGGCTGGGATCAGAGCAGAGACAGACCCGAGATGGAACGGAGACTGAGAGTCTCCCGTTGGGTGCTCTGTCAAACACTCGTAAAACCATCCCCGCTTCACCGACACCGGCGTCACCATGGCAATAGTTTCAGCTTTACACGGGGGCCAATTGCAGTATTACACATATGGTAGAGGAGGAGAGGAGGCTGTGTGCAGAAGGAGGAGATGAGGGAGGAGTTTCAGTATACCGTGTACAGTGAATGTATTGTAACGTGTGTCTGTTGTCAAGTGCTTTTAAATTATATTTTCGTATGTAACGTGGAGACCAATGTTTCCTTTTTGTATGGGGGGACAACAGGTTCTGAGCAGAGTAACTTGTAAATGATGTCAAACTGTCTTTCTATATAAAAGAGAAGCTGCTTAAATGTAAACAGGAAATGACTGAAAAAAAACTGAAAAATAAATTAAAAAGCTCTCTAGCTCGGACTGACTGTCGTTTTATTTCTTCCCTTTTCGACCCAAATAAATCGAAGACATTACAGTTGAATGCATTTAGACAAGCTTACTTTATTCATAAAGATCTTTGCAGTACACACTTCAACCACTGTCCTGACATTCTCACATGAAAAGGGCTGCATCGGACACATGACACACATTTGCCTTGTGATTACTGGGCATGTGCAATTTTTAAAGCCTGAATACAACACTGATGGGTCACTTTGTAATGACAGAAAATAGACAAGCAATGGCATGGAGCCCTGTGGACACACATAAATGACACTCATAATGTGGACCTGCACACTGATTATTATTATTTTTTTTTCACAACTCTAATTTTAAAATGTGGAAGTACTTAACCATAAACATGACCGTAACAGTGTCCTGCAGTCTATTTGCCCAGCTTCTTACCGAAGTAAAACATCATCAATCAGTCACTCGTTCATCACTAAAACATGAGGGAAGTAACAATGCAGGGTCACGACAGTAACTCACAGGTCTCTCCACAACTTATACTCATTTTCATATGTACAGTACATTCAGAATAAAGCCTTATTTAGTGCAGATACATGAAAACGTAGTGCTGTTTTTGTTTAAACCATCTGACGTCTTTGCAAAACACTTACAGCAGTACTGTAGTTTGGGAGAAATCACTTCCCATTCAAGTAAAAAAAAAAAAATCACACCAAATTAATTGACTCTTTTAAGACATCGCATATTCAGATCTCCCTCTGCATTTACACTTAAAAAAAAATCTTTTTCATAATTCTTCTGTCTTTCCGAGCTTTTGAATCGTGGAGAATTAAAAGATGAAGATGTCTTGGCTGCTTTATCACAAGAGAATCCGACTTATAGTTAAAGAAATCTTCAAGGTAGTTAAAGAACGGGGACATTAACGTACTAAAATGTTTTTATCTTCAAAGCCCTGGCTCAAGCTCCTGCTATAATTCACTCTTTTAGCTTGAACTGCAGTAGTTTGAATTGTTTTGAACACAGAATAAATACATGCACTACCAACGGTGCCTTTGCCCCTTGAAGCAGAAAGATGAGCATAAAAATTATACAAAAAAGTAAAGGACCATGGCACTATTCCCGAGTGTTAAAGATCCTTTTACCCACTTGTGTATTAAGGTGAAAGCTACCCTACTTAATAAACATCTTGGTGGAGTAGCCGCCAAAAGACAAACTGCTTCCTTTCAGGAGTCGACTACATTCTTTCTAACCTTTGTCAAGATTGCAAAAAAGTGCTACTGATTGTATATTAACAAGACAACTTAACCGAACCCCAATCAAAATGAACTAATAGCTGACAACATACATTTACCCATACGGTATGTCAGAATACTATGTCTGCCCTCTACGTCCTTCATTCGATCTGCTCGAAGTTAAGCACGTGGCCGTCAAAGTGCGTGAGGACATGCCTCTCGAAGAGCTGCTGCTGACAGTTGAGGGGGAACTGCTCGGAGCAGACTGGGCAGACCTTCCAGTGGCTCTCCACGTGCTGCTCGAAGCTGCGCTGCTCAAAATGGGGTGGGAAGATGACCTCGCATAACGGGCAGCGCCTGTGAACGTTGCTCCTGGAGAAAGAAAAAGAGAGGGTACGGAGACAGGTGAGACAGTTTTGTTATTCAGTTTAGTTAAAACTAGAGTATGTGTGTGTACATATGGCATATATGTATTGTGTATACTGTATATACATATAGTGCATGTGCATACATAAGTGCATACAAATGTTGCTGTAACTGTTAAGTTTGTTACATGTTTTTGAATTTTTGTTTGATACATCAAAACAAACAATGTTTCTTATTTGTAGAAAAATGCAAAGATGAGCAGTTGTTTTTTGTTTTTTTTAACAGAGCTTGATGGATAAATATGACGGTGGTAACATTCAACAAGAAAGTAAACACATTTTTCCAAAAAGGTCAACTATTTAAAGCCCAGGGTAAAACATACAAACATGAGATTTTCAAGTGATACTCTGACGTCATACAATGGGATCAGGAATTTAACCCTTGAATTAACATAATCAAAAAAGTCTGCCACGTTCTTAAGATGTGAAGTCAGCTAGCCACCAATAAACAGGCCAAACAGTTGAGGATTTTCACTTTTATATTTTCATATTAGTCTTGTTTGGCTCACTACTGGCCCAGGGATTAACTGATTTACTGGAAGAACCTCCCTAACCTCTCTTTGCTACTCTTTTGATGAGTTTCTTTGTCTTTGCTTGTGAAATCTAATTTCTTCATCATGTGTCTTTAAGTGAAATGCCTTGATTTTAAAAAGTCTATTCATTCTTAAGCCTATTTTTTTATGTGTGCGGGTAGGCACACTACCTGGAGTCAAAGCAGAAGCTGCTCCTGGCTTCACTACGTCTACTGGACTGATGATCACAGGACGGCTGAGCCCCATCGGCAGCCTATGAAACACAACACAAACACACACAGAAGGATGGGAAATAGTGGCCATCTATTCACTCGGAGAGCTGTATGCACACACACACACACACAACCTTAAAATATGTTAACCAAAAAAGGAGAAAATGGGCAAGTATGTGTTATGTTTCTATTTTAAAGCACAATGTCTCTATTCAGTTTGCTCCGAAACAACCAAAGATGTAATCCGACAGACACAAACTGATCTTAGGTCTGTCCCTTTGCAAAATCTCCCCTAATTACTCTCCAAGCCCTTGTTATCTTCGTCTCTCTCTTGAGCTCCGAGGGAGTGACATTAATTAGAGCTTTATGCAAATGAGTTCAAAGCTTCATCTTTTAAGGGCGAGCAACTATTCCCTTCATTCAGCGAGGAGGAGCACTCCAGAGACAGAGGGAGAGGGATTATCGTGACAGCAATTCTTCGGATGCTGAAAACACAAAGCGAGGGGAGGAAGGCATACGCTGCGATCACAGATAGTTTGTTATGCATTTATGTTGCTTTGATGTATGGGTGAAATTCTACAAAAGGATACCCAGACATACTGCTCTACTGAGATCAAACTGACGCTTGTATTAGTGGTCGACCGATATGGGTTTTTAACGACCGATGTCGGTATTTAGAGAGCTGCTATCAAAACGAAGAAAAGTCATGTATAATTCTATTATACATTGTACATTACCGTCTAATAAACATGGTTATCTTAACATGTAACATGTTGTTTTAAATGGAATTTGTCTATGCAGATGGGTCTGACCGATTAATCTGTCTGTCTATAGCTTGTTTGTTTGTCTGCACTTACATTTTGTGGCTCCTCCTGTGGATGCTCCAGGCTCTCAGGGGGACTCGTGGTGCGGGAGGGCTGGATGCAGACCACCTCTCGGTCCCAGCCTGGTGCCCCAGGGCCTGGGCTCGGGGGTGTGATTGGGGGTGCACAGGGAGGGGCGCAGGGTGGGGCCTCAGGTGGAGGACGGGACATGTGCTCAGGAGACAGAGCAACGTCCACACGGTCTAGAAAAACAGTAAGGCGATGAAGTGTTACCATCCTGATCAGACAGCAGCTTAAGGAGAACAGACAGACGAAGAGCATGAAAGAACTACTGATCAAAGTTTTAACCCTTCCAACCTCGTGTGGTGTCAGTGGAGTAGGGATTGCCGTACTGCAACTCAGCAGGCCTCTGTGGCACCAGTGGTGGAGGAGAGGGGTCCTGAGGGTATGGCAGGGGGTAGCGAAGCACCATCGGCTGCCTCATCTCAGCACCCTGAACGCCAGCTTCCTGCTCCCTCTGTCTGGACACGAAGCGCTGCAGCTCCTGAAGAGGGGACAAGATCCAGTGTCACAGTACCTCAAAGGGATAAACTACATATTGTAAACGGAGATTTCCTGTTACTCAGTATTCTATGCTGTCCAGTTGAGCAAACTTGCATACAAAAAAGCCACATTTTAAACAGATGCTACAGCATAAATACATAGTTCAGACATCTAACACATACTTTCAACACTTTTTCCTTAAGTTCTTAAAAGCTATCTTGAAATTGTTCATACTGTACATATTTTTCATTATTTTCTGTGTTTAAGTACAGTGTCTAGCTGTGATTCTTACTCCAAGCCAACATTATCTGTCTGAAGAGAGAGGGACTGATGAGAATAGCTGTGTGAAGGAAAGTCAGTCAGTGTTTCCATAGAACATTTTCACTGTTGGAACCACACAGGGAGTAAGTATTTTCAGCTCAGAGTTAAGTTTCCCTCTACACTATTTCTGCCCTTTGTGATTATAACTGAAGCAAGAGCATTAGTACCCTACTCATTACTGTAATGGGTGTCAGATTCTGGCTCCCTCTGCTCTGGCTTTGCTGATGGAGGCACTCGCCCTCTCCCTCTTTTACCTCCCTCCTTCCTCTCGCTATTCCTCCCCTGACGTCCTCTCTTGATGACTTCATTAGTGCGCTGCTATCAGGTTTAACATTTAAACCAGGGTTGGTAAGGTGAAACAGACACGTCGTGTGGCATTTGCACTGTCTAATGGCACTGTACCGGTGGGCAAAAGAAGCAAGTATAGATGTATTAATTAGTGGGTGGTGGGGAGTATGGAGAAGGGAAGGAACGGCTACAGAAGGAGTACACTGCACTGAAGTGCTGCACATAATTGAATGTGATGGTATTGCTATGGAATTCAACTGAGAGCCTACATTATCTACATTTCTCCTGTCAGAAGCTATATGTTCAGATCTCTGTAGTTTAAATTCAGGTGGCTTATCTAAAATAAAATGATAACCCTAATTCACATTCATTATCAAAAACTGCTCTGTTTCAATTGTGAAGAACCGATATATAAATGGTGTGCTGCTGCTTTACCTCCTGTAGTTGCTCCTTGTCTCTGAGGGCCTGGGCCAGGTTGCGTTTCAGCTCCGTCACCTCGCTGGCTCGCTCTGCCATCTGCACCTACAGACGGGGCACCAGAAAAACACAGTACCATCAGGGCACAGTTAATAACAGATCAGATTTCCTTAAGAGGATATAGATGCCAGCATCAATAATTACTTGTTAATTTCATTTTAATTACTGATTAATCTTACCTACTCTCTCGATTAACTGATACATCTTCTACTCTATAAAATGCCAGAAAAAGGTGATCACAATTTGGCCAAGTCAACTTAAAATCTCTTGTTTTTGCCTTGTCATTCACATTTAATTTATAACCTTGTTGATAATTTTTTTGTGGAGTAATTCATTAATAAACTAATTGTTGTTGTTGTAATAAACTAAAAGAAATGTATTATTGATTCACTGTTCACATCCCCTGCTTCCAGGTTGGATTTCCACTCCATTTGTGTCAACTGACGAAGAGGAATACCAGTAGGCATACACACAGGCAAGCGAGTGAACATAATATTTGGTCAGTTGAGTTTTATTTAACCTGGCGCAGCGTCAAATGTGTGGTGCTTACAGTAAAACACACTGCGAAAGCCAAAGAAACAGGGTCAGTGTCCAGGGCAGGCTGGAGGAGCACTGCAGAGGAGAGCAGACCGGGGGATCGTAGTAAATCTCTTACTTTCTAACAGCACTGACCCTGTGGGATAGTTTACATGACTAGTTGCCTGCTCTTCTCTCATTTCATCCCATTACAAAGGTTCCAAATCCCCTCCTCTCCCGGTTTCTCTTTCTGCTTCATGTCTGTCTATCTTACTTTTTTCACTCTTAAATTCTGTTTGCCTCTTTTGCTTTCCCCTCCGTCATTCTCTTTCATCTGCCTTTGTCCTCTCTCGCTCTCCCCCTCTTCCATAAATTTACGGCGCAGCATTAGAGGGTTAAGTTCAGGTGAAGGGATTCTGCAACAGTGTAACCCCCCCTCCGCCCCTCTCCCTGTCTATTCCTCTCCCTCACCCATCCTCTGGGTGGCTGATGTAAACAGCCGTAAAGCACTGCGCTCTGCGGCTGCCTCTCTTGTCAGTCTCCGGGGCCATTAAGAGCGGCTCGGGGCCCGGGGCATTCGCCTCAGACAGGAGACTCTATCAAAGACAGGGGAGAGCCTTATTTACAGCGGCGATAAACACACACTCACTCATGGAGATTAAATGCTGGTAAGTACTTTGGCGGACATTTGCACGCAAAATGCAAGAGACCCACGTAGTCGCACCAAGTTCATATTGAATCACACACACACACACACCACACGACACACACAACCACACCACACACAACACCACACACACACCCACACACACACACCAACCCACACACACACACACACAATCCAAGTGCTGCATGACTTTCCCTGAGTCAACAATGGTAAGACTATTTTTGATTTTTAAGATTTATTAAATTGAGCAAGAAAAATGTATTGATTCCAGCCTGTCAAGTGTGAAGATTTTCTCTTTGTTCTTGTTTTACAATTTTTGGAATTGTTATTGTATTGTTTGACATAATCTTTGTGAGGAAAGAGGAATTAATGATTAGCATGATTAGCAATGCTATGATTAGCATTTTCCTTTTACTATTTTGGGACATTTTATGAACTAAATCAACTAAGTCTAAAAGAGGAGCACTGATCCCTCATACTTCCATCCACTCTGCATAAGTGTGCGTCTTACTCTGAATCGTTCTTCCTCGTTGGCGAGCCGCTGTTTGAGTGTCTCATTGATCGCACACTGCTCCCTCCACTTCTCTTCCATCATCGCCAACTCCTCCTCCACCGAGCGAGTCTGTTCCTTCTCTGCCTCTCCCATGCTCGTCCCTTCCACCTCCAGCGGCACCTGCTCCTCTGCGACATCTCTCACTTTCTCTGCCTTCCCTGACATTTCCGCCTCGCTGTTCTCTTCGGCACTCTGCCTCTCGTTCTCCACCTCCACCCAGCTCGCCATCCTCAGGCTCTCCTCCGGCAGGCTGTACTTTTTCTCCTCTTTCTCTTTGTCTTCTTTCTGTCTGACCTCTCCTTGGTTTAATTCTCCCTCAGCCTCCACCTCGGCCCTGTCATTTGGAATCTTATCTCTCTGCATTTCTTCCTTCTCTGTGCTGATGTATGCGCCAGCATGTGTGGTTTCACTGTTACTAAGTTCTGGAGTGATTGTCATCTCAGCGACTTCTTGTAGGACTGCAGAAGCTATATTCCCTGTAAAAACACACAAAGTAAGAGTCAAACTCACAAGATTACATAGTCAGTACGACAGTCTTTGATTTAATTCTTGTGTGTATACCTCCTGTTGGTGACTCTGGACTAGGGGTCAGTGGCTCCTGTGTTGTCTCAGTGGATGCATTTCTCTTTGGCTCCTGCAAAAATACAAATAACAACAATGTATCAACAAAAAGTAAATGTAATTGGTTTAGGGATAAATTGACCTGTGTGTTATATTTCTTTTTTCTTTTCACATGACTTTTACTGCACGGCACTCACCCCCTGTGACTCAGTAGTGTTTAGTTTGGCCACCTGCCTGCGGAGGCGCTGACACTCCCGGTACTTCTCCTTGTAGTGTTCAGCAGCCATATGAAGACGCAGCTTCAGCTCCTCCACCTCTCTTTGCAGCTCGGCCTCTGCCTCTGACACCACCAAGATGCTGGGTGTCATCTCCCCACTGGTCCCAACACCCTGGGAGAGAAGGAAATTAAGAGGAAATTTTGAAACACAATGTGAAAATTCCCACAGGAAAATGGTTTGCTTTAGAGTTCTCGCAGCCATTGGCATTGATACCGAATAAGGAAGTCGGACACTGACCACTTCCTTCTGTGCAGTGCTCCTCATGCGGTCTAACTGGCTCTCCATACGTTGGCACTCGGCCTGAGCATCAGCTAGACTGGCACGGAGCTTGTCGGCTTCCAAGCGGGCACGGTACAGCTCAGTCATCGTGTGGTCACGTGCACTGGCTGAGTCGCGGAGCTCCGAGGCCAGGAGGGAGGCCTGCTGCCGGGACGCCTGGAGCTGCTCCTCTGCCTGACGGAGATGCTCACGCACACGGGCCAGCTCTGCCTGAAGACATGTAGAGGGAAAATGATATATATGAACTGGTTTTACTATGCAGGTACACACATGAATGCTAACACACAAGATAACAGACAAACATTTCAGACAACCACTATTACCTTGTCAGCCTTGTGTGCCAGCAGCTCTTTCTCCAGGCTGTCCCGCTGGGCAACGCAGGCCCTGAGCCTCTCCAGCTCCTCCTGGAACTGGGCAATGGTCACCTCCCGGTTCAGCTCCACTGCCTTCAGCATCTGCAGCTCTGCACTCAGCTTAGTGTTCTCCAGCTCGGTGCTGCGCAGGTGGGCCTACACACGAGACAACACAGAGAAAATGCAAAAATCAGAAGAAAGAATTACACAGGCTTTGTTAGTCAAAATGCACCTTTTCCTTCAGCCAGCCTGTTAGCTCTGATCAGCCTACCACCTTGTAGAGGTCTCTCTCGTCCTTCTCGTTCTTCAGCTGGCTCTCCAGGCTGTCTCTCTCTGCTGTCAGCTTCTTCAGACGGTCACGCAGACTGTGACAAAAAAAGAAAATAACTTTGGTACACTTTTCCTATCCACCGACATTATTATAGTACACTCATTTTCAAGCTATTCATGCAACTGTTTATGGACTAAGAGGACAACTTCAGAAGTATTTTTTAATTATACTACTATGTGTTAACAAGGTTCTAAATTATTAACCACAACCCACTGAATGTCAGCTAAATCTGTTTTTGCCAAAAGGCTATGCTGCATGGTCACCACCCCCTAATCCATCATCTAAGGGGGTTGAGGAAGTGACAAGCATTTAATGCAATGCACTACAATATCTGTGGAATAAATGCTAGCTTTGTTAAGCTTATTTTTAAAATTGACTGTGTCAGGGGTTGGCTGTGGTTTGTTATTTGTGTGGAATGATGAAGATGTCGAGGAAGCCGAAGGCAGGAAAGAAATTCTCCTCAAACACAGTCAGTTTAACGATCATGTCCTCAAACAAACAGATCAGTTTGGATGATTGATGGTCACGTGTTTGCATTCTCTACTCACCAGTCAAGCTCCGTCTCCTTTTGCAGGCCTCTCTGGGTGACTCCCAGCAGGTCCTCCTCCAGCTGGCGGACCCGGTCCGTGGCCTCTGTCAGCCTCCTCCTCACCTCCTCCCTCTCCTCTGACAGGCCCTGCGACGAGCGCAGCAGCTCCTGCGCGACAGAGAAGCAGCTGTGGATCACTGTGACAGGCTCTACCAGCCAATCACAGCCGCTGCATGAGCGAGCTGAACTTGGCAGAGAAGGAGAGCTGAACAAAGTCTTTTGCAATACTCATGATTAATCACAGATGGTAAGATTTCATGTGATCTGTGGCAGTCATGTTGCATATGTAGTACATATTATATGTCACCCTGCCATATATATTTGTTTCTATGCACCTTGTATTTATGATTTATAGCTAGGCTCAGTTGCCACAAACTAAAACTACTTCAACAGCCTTCATCAAGGAAATGTATCATGAAGGTTTTGTTGCATAGAAATTTGCACTACTGGACTTATTATTTTTTGCACATGTATAATGGTATAAATGGATGTGTACTGTCCATAATATTGTAATGTATAAATGAAAAGTAACTTTTAAATCTCATTTTATTCAGTTTTTTACATTTTATTCCACTGTGAATTGTTATTTTTTTCTGTTTCTCAGCTCTACAGCCTGTTTCTAGTGCAGCTGTAACATGAGTTCTCCCTCAGGGGATCAATTTAGTCTCATCTTATTAATCACAAATCACCAGTTATCATGAGTAATCATGACTCATGTGAGCCTTTTGACTGACGCAAAACACACATTCATTATCTGAAGTTAGGGTTAGGGTTAGAGTGAAACAGTATGTGGTGAACGCATGCAAGAAAAACCTGTCTAGTATCAGCAAACTCAAATTCCTGCGAGCGTAAGGTCTGTTTTCTCCATGCGGTGGGCCTGCCGAGGAAAGGCCTTGTTTGAACTTGCTGCTAATCAGCAGTGAAGGACATTAAATCATCCACAGCAAATATTGATGACAGAACATACCTCTCTGAACACGCCCTCCTTTCTATCTGTAGCGTGCGCACACATATACTCACTCACACATACATGGGAGCTATACAAAAACTGACACATAGCTACACATTTGGACATATGGAGACAGACAGCTAGCAAAGTACAGCCATCAATCCGAAACAGACACAGAGCGCACATGCATACACCAACGCATACTCCGGCCTGTCTCCCTCTGGGCTTGGCTCTGCAGAGATTACTGTATGATTTTTATGGCTGGCGTTTGGGAAGCACTTTAGCAGTGCATAAAGACCTTATAAAAAGTGTAGTCGTAAAATTAGCAGCCACAAAATATGTACTTATGTTTTCATGTTAAACTTAGGACATTTTCATCAGCATGGCATGAGCTACACCTAGTGTAAATGGTCTACAAAAAGAGACACACACCTACTCACACAAGTCGTATATCTACAGATGAACATGCCTGTTGAATGAAAAGCAGCACGGTAATAACAGTGTGTGTGTGTGTGCGTATTACCACGTAATTTATGGCGATTTTGTCAAGAGCAGCGGACTAACTCAAAGCAGCCTGCTCCTACTCTGAGCCTAGATCAGAGGGCTGCACTAGGGGGCGATAAGAGACTGGATTCAAACTCACACACCTCTTGGCAAGTTTGAGTGTTTCACCCCCCCCAACAACCCCCTCTGCTTTCATTGAGATTCCTTGAGTTGACTGTTTTTTAGGTGTGTGTGCCAAGTTACTGCTTATCAAATGAGCATCTCAAAATCTGACTCATCCTAGTGAGTGAGTGAGTGAGTGAGTGAGTGATGGGGGGGGGGATCTAAAAAAAGTAGATTCAACTTCTGTAGAAATTGAAAACACTAAAATTCTGATTAATGTTCCAAAATATATATTTGTTTTCTTTACTTCAGCAAAAGAACTCGTTGAAAATTGAGTGAGAAAGAGAAGGACAGACTGACAGACAGACAGGGGAGAAAATAGACAGTGAGAAAGCAGTGGCCACTGAATCGCGTGACTGAGTGGTGTTTGTCCCTGAGGCTGGGCAGGGCCCTTTTTTTCAGGCAGGCGGTTTTGCGGACTACCCTCCTCTCATTCCACACACAGACTAAAAGGGTTTGCAAGCGGGTGGCATAATGAGTGTGTTTGTGCTTGAGTGTGTGTGTGCACGCTTGTGCATGTGTGAATGCACATTAGAGGGGGCCCTGTGGTGCGGAACCTGAATGCGAGTGTGAGAGAGAAGGGGGGCCGTTTGTGTACGCGTATGAGCGTGTGTGTGTTTGTGTGTTTGACGTCATGTTTGTTCACTCTGTGGTTGCGATGGCATCGTCCCTGACGCCAGATGCCCAAGAAAACTGCGACCCAATTCCGTTCTGGCCCACTGAGACAGATCGTTAAAGAGGGTGAGAGAGACTGGCGTGCACACACACACACACACAATGTGTCTCTCAAACATGGACACAGATTATTCATAAATTTGGCCCTTTGAAGTTTTCAGACCTGTGATCACTGGTGAGGAACCGGCTCCACACACATGTGCAAATAGAGACTAGTCTGTTTATGTACACACCACACCCCCACACACTTGCATATATTTGCACATACACAAACACATTAAAACACACCTTAAGTCTCACTGTCTCAGTTGTTGGAGCATTTTTTGTGTTAGCTGCCTAACTAATTGAATTATTGAAAGAATGTATTTTTTATTTTGACTTTGAATTAAAAAGCAGTAATTCTTTCTCTATGATGGTTAATTAGATGATGATGATCACCTGTGATAGAAGGAGGTGGTGGAACAGAGTTTCTACTCAATGTTGCACAAATAACTCGAACTTAAACACCAAATTTAATTATATACATGCATTCACAAACCATATCTATTATATCCAGATATAATACAGACCACTACTCTCTCCAACCTGGTTGTGTGTCCGCAGCAGCGAGCACGTCTCCCTCTCCTGCTCCCTTTCCCTGGCCAGTCGTTTCTGCTCCTCCTGCAGCTGCTGTTTCTCCTCCTGGAGGATACGCATGGCCTTCATCAGCTCCCTGCGCTCCTGCTGTGCCTCCTCCACATGCTGCCAGGCAAGAGGGAAGTTATGGGTAGAGAAAAAGAATGATACCTGTTCCTTGAAGATTTTTTAGTCTTCAAGGATTAAAAGATTAAGATTAAGAGTCACTTAGTTTGGTCATTTTTATTACAGTTAGTTGTCAGATGCACATTTGTCTAGAGTTTTATATAAAATTAATTTTGGTTTGTACGATATAGTGTGGGTTGGGCCTACGGCAATCTAGAAGTACAGTCATTTAATAGCTTATTAATGCCAATACTCAGAGAGTTCAGAGGTCACACTCTGGTACAAAACAGAACCTCTTGATTCTGGTGGGGATCTAGTACCTATTATCTAGTATCCAGTATCTAGTACCCTATGGGATCCTTTACATTTTGCCGTACCTCTAGCAAGCCAGTCTTGGTGGTGACGACCAGTATGTCTGAGTTGCTGTCATCCTCTGTAACAGTCAGCAGCTCTTCGGTGGGCGTGGCTGACCTGAACTGGAAGGGCGTGCTGGCTCCCCTGATATCACCAGCATGTGTGACGTAACAAAACTGGTAGAACTCTCCATCGGATTTAGGAACATAATAACCTACAAAGAGATAAAGAGTGTGTGTGTTTGTGTTAAATTCTCTTTTTATTTTTTTCTTCTAATAATTCATACTTTCAATTAAAAACTACATTCATACTTTTTCAGATATATTCAACTTTTCAATCCCATTCACAGTAATTATATTTTTTCCACTTTTCCAACTAGAATATTTCTTCAGTTTCTAAATAGAAATTAAAGCCAGCATTTCAGCGTCAGCTTTTCAACAGCCAGCATTCACACCCCCAGATCCTTCAGAAATTGCCTTCTCTAGAAGTTGACCAAGCTAGAAATGTTCTTTTTTTATTTTATTTAATAGTCACTTAATCAAGAAGCACTTATTTCATTTAACACTTCTACAATGTCTTCACACACAGTGCTACACTGTGAGATTTCACTGGAGCACATCATTCGCATGTTAGGCCTGGTTCTCTAAGACGGAGGAGTAAGTACAGAACATCCGGCAGCCAACCGGTTTTACTGACTACTGACACACCACAGCATGCTCTCATATTTTCACTGTGTAATATCTGACCGTTCCAGGCCCAGTAAAACCAGTTTGCAGGCCCTCAACCTGTGTGTGTGTATGTGTGTGGTTTGAGAGGTGCTCAGGTCCCAGGCCGTCGTTTGCGGTTGTGTTCCCTTATTAAATAAAAGTGCTGGTTTTTATACGCGCCGTAAAATGGAGGAGTTACTTTGGAATACCCTGGGTCTGTATAGTGGTTTACATAGTCTGTGTGTGTGTGTGTGTGTGTGAGTGTGAGTGTGTGTGTGTGTGTACCTTGAAACACCACAGTCCTGTGTATGTTACTTCCTGGTTCGTAGTTTTCAGGCATAGGAGACCAAAGGAATGTGTAGTAATCTCTGGCTGTGCTCCAACCCACCTGAGTATGTAAACAGTATGTAAACCACAACGGAAATATTGATCCACAACAGAAAATAGCGCCCAACTGGACGATGTAAAGCATAATATTTAGTGGGAAAAAAAATCATGACTCACATTTTGTTCTGAATTAACATAAACAGTTAATAACCAGATGACATTACTACTTGTCATGATTCGATTTAAAAAAAAAAAAAAAACACACACTAAATAAAGAAAGCTGGAGGATTATATACTATGTTCAAGGCAAGAATGGAAACATTTAAAACCATGCCCCCTCATTCTTCCACACACCACCGCTTCCTCCTCTTTCCTTCCGCTCAGTTCCTGCCCCTTTTGGGCTCACACAAAAGAGGGGCAGCAAAGGTGTGAGAATGGGGTGGTAGGGCAGGGGTGTGTGTGGCTTTGCATGCGTGTACACACATGCGCAGACTCGTGAGTCGGCAGAGAACAACCCACGTGGAAATGAGAAGAGGGGGAAAGAATAAGAGCGAGGGAAGAAAAGGTGAAAATTTTACACAAAATGGCAAGGGAAATGTAATTCCATGGATTTCATGTGTTGTTAGGTGACAGATGATGAAAGGGAGTTGTGAACATCATAACTCAGGTCCTGCGTCGTAAATCTGTCGCACACAACCGCACACTCTCCCTGTCTGGACCACTCACGCACACACGCACAAACACTCACACACACATACCTCGTTTCAACTCACATGTGCAATACATGTTTGTGATGTTACATAACTGCACTTCAGCTGTGGATAACTCTACCACTTGTGGTACTATGAGACTTTTTTTTTTTACATTTTAAAATTGGAGAAAAGTGGTGCAAGAGAAAGTTTCCCGTTTGGACAGCTGCCACATAGTAATCATATAATATTACATGTTCAGACAGTTGGTTGACTATGCTATACTTGAAATTATAGGATCCACCAGAAACTAGGAGGGGTTACTTACTTTTGTTGAGTTTTAAATGAGCCATAACTTTTTTAAAGATTAAATAATAACATGCCGGTAAATTTTTCCCATCTTCACATAAAACCATTTCTGCAGTTAAATATTTAAATAAACAACAATCTAATTAACAGTTAAATAACTTTATTAACTAAAATTAAATAAAAATAAAAATAAGAATAGAATACCTGACGAAGCAATGTGAAGCTTTAACTGGCAACAGTAAATCAACCGAGCTACTCAAAACATTTGTCAAAATTTATGTTTCAATAATGCTGTTGCATGATACCTAATTGTAGTGTTTGTCTTATCCACCCATTACACTTAGTATAATACTATTCCAAACAAATGCTTATTTTCAGTGGGAAAACCAGGGCCAAGAACATTCTTTCCACATCCAGCAGTATCTTAGTGAGAGGCTAGCTGATAGACTCCTGCCAACTTTTCTTGTGTGCTCACGTGTGTTTGCTTAAGACAGAACAGACATAAATAATTTTGCTAATTGCAGAGTGGAGTTGACTGACATTTGGTTAGGTATGGTGTGGCATTCCAACACAGGAGTGATGTTATAAAATAATCACAGGCAAAGCAGCTATCAATCATTCAGCCAAGGTGTGAGGGAACAGCACGATGACACGTTAATTATACACTTACACAACGGGTTTCTCCCTGCTGCCCCAACAAACATGCCACAACCAAAAACCTCCACGGGGCTTTTTTAGGAAACGGTGTATGTGTGCGTCAGACATCAAACTCAAACTAAAATATGCTTTCACTTGACAGACAAAGGAAAACAACAAAGGCAATTTACTGGTGATTTACAGAAAAAATGTCACCATTTTGGAAAACAAAAGAAAACATGTCTAGCTTGATTAGAGTCTACTCTGTGGATGTTTACTGTGTATACACTGAATGTGAATAATGTCTGAGTGCACCATCCTCTAGGAGCAAGTTTGTTATGCCATTATTATTGGACTATGCACATTTTCAGCCACTAGGGGGTGTCTGCGCACAACTCAAATGAACAGTGGCTGTCTGTGCAGTCTGAGTCATCATCATAGCAAGTCAGCTGTATTGCTTAGTCTGTCTCTCCGGAACAGGTAACGCCTATAGATGTGAAGGGTAAGATGGGGGAAATGCTCTCTCCCTGAGTCATCTCTGCACAAAGGTTTTGCCTCTGGGAGGCAAAAAGACTTTTGAAGAACTTTTGAAGAACATTTATTTACATGATGATCATCATCATTGCTCAGTGGGAAAGTCCAATCTAAATGAATCGTTTTTAATAATTCACCAACCTGTTGATTTTGACATTAGAGTCCCCAAACACTCCAACAAACTTCAAGCCTTCATTAGCATTTGAATGGTGTCATGACTTCATTTTTATTATAATCAAAGTGGATGATTAGTATTTGTAAAAGCAAACATAATTACTGACCCCCTGATACATGCCCCACTGAAAAAAAAGAAGAATCAAGTGAAATGGTTTATCCTAATAATATATAAATACACACACTGCCATGTTTTTCCAAGAATGAAATTGATAAAAATCTATGAAAACACAAAAAGACAGACATGTACGTCAAAAGGATTAAAGATGTGGGGTCTGCTTGTGCCCTGACATGAAGCACCAACCATCAAACAGGTTTCATTAGCATGGATTACAACAATTAAATTTTCCAATTGACTTTTTTCCATATAAACCCAGCATCTTTATACCTTTTTAATTGAGCTGGTGGATTTGAAGTCAGTTCTTAAACAACAATAAAATGTTTGTCTTTTGACTTTACGAGACATTAAGTTTCCTAATTCACATTTCCTGCTAATTACGTGTGAGATTTGATGGCCTTGATAAAAGAGCGGAGCGTAGGGTGGTTAGCAGGAAGCAGAGAAAAGACTGATGGAAAGACGGAGGGGAACGAACAAGTGAAGTGGGGGGAAAAGAGGTCCTAATAAGAATCAGAGTGGTTCATAAAGAGCACCAAATGTTTGCCCCCCAGCGAGACCTACTGCAACTGGCCCACCATGTACACTCTTCCTCTTTCTGCATGCAAAGCAACCACACCAAAGCCTGTGGTGAGGTATAAGGCATGTAGTGAAGAGCTGAACCATTAGTGTCAAGGCGGATGTATGTGTTAATGTGCCAACTGCAAACCCATGGCCAATTAATAAAATCCTAACACATAATACATGTCAGAAAACACTTATGTAATTGGCTGGGAATAGTTCCAATTACTAAATATCTCTTTGTAACATAAATGATTCAGATTAATAAAAGCCTGGTCCTTGATTGATCATGCTGCACAATGTCTTTGAAGCAGCTGCGGTGTGCGTGATGTACCTTGAAGATGCCCACCCAGTCTTTGGGGTGGGGAGAGATGTAAGGGGTCAGGGTGTAGTGACACTCCAGGGGTGCCTGGGGCAGGAAACTCTTCCCCACATTCTGGAAGATTACGTGGGCAAAGTTGGACGTTTCCATGACGCTGACACTGCTGCCTGGTGACGAGTCCACCACCTGGAACGATGACATTGTATCCTGTTGGTCACTTCATTTGTCTGTAAGACAAAAGGGCAGATGACAGAGAAGTTGAGGAAATTATTTGTTTTTAAGTTGCGCACACACACAGCAAAAATGACAAATTACATTAAAATGGATTCATAGAGCAGGTTTGCAATGGAAGGGACTCTAGTGTAAGTTTCCACACCATCTCAGACAATATATAACCAAGCAGTGACGTGGCGCATATACCCACCTCTAGGCGGGGTATTCCTAAATAGAGGGTGTTGTAAAGCTATCAGAGGCAACTTTGTGATTTTAGGCCGTATAAATAAAATGTGACTCGACTTAAAATAGGCCACCCAGACAACTGGCTCACTGTCCTAAAATGGCAACAAGCCTGGGCCCTGGGAAACCAATCTTACAGATGACCGATGAGCTTTGTGACGGGCTATAAAGCAGATTAGTACAGATTTGACTCTCCATCCTAATGGAGTATTTTTGTGGTGTGGTATTGTACTTTTACCTAAATGATGCAACTGCTTTGCATCGCTGTCATCCATCCGTTCATCTCCTCCTGGATGAGAATAAAGCTAACACAACCAACCCTCCTGCCCCACATCCCTCCCTTTAAACCAACGCTGGACTCCTCAGTGAGCTAAACGAAAGTGAAAGTGACTCAAGTCATGACTGATGCTCAATTCAGCTAACCAGCTAACGTAACATCGTCTGCACACTGAGCCCACAGCCACCAACGCATAGAAAAGGTTTTTACGAAAGAGCTAAGTCACAGCTATGCCACATAAAAGACGCCCAGTTAGCCAGAGGATAATCTCATTGACGGTGGCTAGGCAGCTAAGGTTAGCTCGTGAACAGGCCATGTCGTGTCAAGTCACTGGCTAGCAAAACATTATCCTAGTCGGTGGGCTAGCTTGCTGACACAAACCACGAACATGACAGGCGGTCATTTAGTCTGAAATGGAAACAATACCCTTTTCATATGAACTCCACTTGCGTGAAAGACGCAATGTCCGCCGGACAGGCCGATGTTTTCGCCACTGTCCCCGTTGTTGTCAAAGCTCTGACGATGATGCGTCTCTTCCTGAAGGAGCAAATGATGCTGAACTTCCGGGATGCTGAGCAGTACCAGTGACGAAGAGGATGAAGAGGATGAAGAGGATGCTCGGGGGGGTTGGTTTGGGGGTAGCAGATGCCTCTACGACTGGAGAAAACTCATATTACTTAAGTTACCTAAATCCGTTTACCAATACACGTCCCTTGCTTTATAGATTCGCATCCCTGCTGAATTAAAACAACATCACAGGGTAGCTTAAGTCTCTAACTATGTGCCATTCATTGCAACATTTATATAGTAGAGTACATATAATTGTATTGTCATTAAATACGTTGATTTTACGTGTTTGTTATTTTAGAGGCATTGCTGTACTCACACAGGCGGCTAAAGGGCATTAAGTAGAAGCACAGGATGTCCCGCCTTTGCCTCGTTTCTATTGGCTGCTGAAACTCACCGAGAGCTGCGATTGGCGGAAAACAAGGGCAATCATAACAGTTTGGTTGGGCTTTCCTGGCTTGACAGCTGTCACTGTACGCCGAGGTCAAGGGGAAAGAAGCATGGCTGCGTTGTTTAGAGGGTCGCGAAATGTATTGTTAAGGTGGACTAAGCATGTCGACCTTGCCTTCGGTAACGTATCCGCTTATGTTGTTCCCTTGTGCCGTTTTTCCCGGTCATGAATGCGTGTTCAGAGGAAAATGTAGGCGGAACATTGTCTGCTCCAGTGTGTACGCTAGCTTGTTAGCCCTCTGAAGAAAGTATGGATATAGTTACTGCCGGTGCTAGTTAGTGTTAAAGTCTGGACACAATGTCCCTGAGTTGGCCGCCTGCTGTGTGGTGTTCAGTCATGCAGTATGTTAGGACAATGTGCTTAATGGACATGAGCGTAGTGAAATGTGAAGCAATGGCCAGTGAGAGCTCACTTTTAGCTGACCATGATGTCTTTATAGACCTCTGGGCTATGTATAAGATGTGTATTGGGTTCTGATTATATGAGCTTGTTGCTATTCTCAATACAACAATTTTGCTGTACATTACACACCTTCAGGGATCAGTCTTTGCTTGCATCAACGCCTACTCTATCCACTCCTCCCTGCCCATCCTACAATGCCAGACACAACTATGTTTTCTGAATCAGCAACAATGAATGTTCATTTGAATGATTCTCTAAGATGCAACTGACCTTACACTACTTGTAACTCTCTGTGAGTGTTACTGTTACTGTGTTTTTCTTTAATGTATCCAGGCATTGCATTGCAGTGGTTCTAAAGGCCCCAATATAGTGCTTCCCGTCCCCCCGAGCTATGCCTTTACAAAGCAGGCATGGTCTTGGCCTCAGTACTGTACAGCCAGTCTCAAAGTCCACTGTACTGTAAAGTAATGCCGATAACCCCCTTCAAATGTGTTGACATACTTATGTGAACATATTAGGCAAGGTTATTATTATATCAGAATGAATAGGTAGTCTATTGATAGATGATACATAGATAAACCCTCTAGTAGCCTCACTTAACCTAAAGTATGCTATAATAGACTGAATAAAGACTTTAGAGCAGAAAGGCAAATTACTTAATGCCTCCAGTGGCCTTATACTTCAGGGCTTAGAGTTAAAGTAAATGAATCCGTGGCAGTGAACAGTCATGTTAATATTACATGCCAAGATTAATACTAGTGCTGAAATGCAAACATTTTCCATTTTTTTCCCATTTTAGCTTCTGTAAAGATTAAAGATCTTTGTTTTATATAATTGTTAACTCAGATTTACAGGGGGATTTTGTAGAAATGATAGACTAAACAACAAATCACTGGGGATTTAAATAAATACTAGTTACAGACCTAGTTAAAGTTATTACAAAACAGCCATTGTATTGTTTTACACTTGATGACTATACAACCTGAGCAAACAGTGTAACATTCATCGTTCTGTTGGTACTGAGGACTATACATAACTAAAATATATATATATATTTAGTACATGCAGAGAACGGGCAGGAAAATAAGGTGAGGATTGGAGAAAAAATATATTTTAGCTTGAACTGAAATGTGTCATCAGGAACAATATTTCCATACCAACCAAAAGATCTGCTCTTTTTTCTCTTGCATTTATAAAACATTTCAGTAGTAATGTACAGGAGAGTGCCCAACGAGGCGTCCATTATCAGGAATTAACCCACGACGTGGAGACCAGAAGCATCCGTTGCACAGACGAAAACTGTGTAGTTTAACTTTTAAACATTAAAAGGTTTATTCTTGACTTCAGATATAATAGTTCTTTCAACTAGCATCAGATCAGACATGTTTCAGTAACTATATTGTAAGGATGATGTGATTCCCTCCTTGAGGGAAGAACATAGGTGTGAGGACAAACTGTGAACTGCAAGACAGACAGTGCCAATGCTACGTGTCTGCTTGGAGGAGACATCTGTTCAATTGTTGTTTCTATTTCAGCATTATAGCAGACTTACTGAGACATCTTACTAGATTTCATTTTATTTCACTATTATTAGTTGAAGGGGTGAATTTAAGGTAAGGCTTTCTGTTCAAGCCTCACTATCCATGACTAATCCTGTTGTTGTAGTCTACTTGCTTCGCTCTGTTTAGTATCTGTTAACCTGGCTGGACCTTGGCTGAGCCAGCAGTGTTTAATAGCTTGGCCAGACTGCCCAAAAGCCGTCTGTAAGTTACAGTGTTAAGATTTGCTGTGTTCTTATTGATTCTAATTAGAGCATTTCCTTCTGGAAAATATTAGGATAGCAGCTTTTTACAGTTTCACTGCCATTTAAACTGACAGTCATTAGCCACAGGGACCCATGGTTTTCATGGTGGAAAGTAGTCTTACCTTCATTTTATGTAAAACACTTTTCCTCTGCCTTACAAATAAACTTGCCTTGCCTTCGTTGGGTAACCAGAATCAAACTAATCGACTGCAAGTAAGATAGCTACTGTATGTGATTGCACACATTTTGTTTATGAACTGAACTGGGGATTGTTAGCATTTATATTGCTCTGGACTTCAGCTTAACAAAATGCCTCACGTTCTTTCTCAAACCTCAAATAGCATCTTTGTTGCTATTTTCCCTCAGTGTCGTCACGATCAATGGCCTCAAAAACACCAGTGGGGTTTATTGGTCTGGGAAACATGGGCACTCCAATGGCCAAAAACCTGTTAAAGAATGGTTATCCCATTATTGCCACTGATGTCTTCCCTGAGTCTCGCAAGGAGCTGCAGGACACTGGTGCCCAGGTAACACTCAGCCAATTACACATCACCTATGGACATTTTAAAATTGAATAGGATATATATAGCTTATAAAACTTTACATTTAACAAGCCAAGAACACACTCCATATTGGCAAGTATTTGCAAGCTTTTACCACCCTTCATTGAAACTCACTGCAGCGTCATTAAAACGGTTACTAAGCTAATATGTGCGTCTGAGCCAACAGGTTGCCATAAATAAGAGCTATAATGCATTTCATTTTTTCATGAAGGTGTTTATTTATTGTTGATGACTCCAATATTCAGGTAGTAGACTCTCCAGCAGATGTGGCGGAGAGAGCAGACCGCATCATCACAATGCTTCCCTCCAGTCCCAATGTCATAGAAGTCTACACAGGCCCAAATGGCATCCTCAAGTAAGCAAACTGTACTATAACAGGCTGTGTCATTTGTGACATTGATACAGCCCCACCCTGCCTCTTTAAAAGAGTGGCACAGTTGTTTAATGTACAAACAGACAACATGCTTTAATGCTTTTTGTCTTGCCCCGTTCAGGAAGGTGAAGAAGGGTACGCTGTTGATTGACTCCTCCACCATTGACCCCGCCGTCTCAAGAGAGATGGCACTCGCTGCAGAGAAGATGGGAGCCGTGTTCATGGATGCTCCTGTGTCAGGAGGTAATGTGTCACCCAAAAAAAGAAAGTCCATCTCTGCATGTTTGATTTTGTGATAACTCGCATGTAATTTACTCTTTCTGCTTTGTTATATTATCCAAAATATTCCAGCCAGTGGTTGCTAAAGATCAACAAAAGTGGAAGATGAAGAGAACATATTAAATATTTGTAATAAGGCTTTATTTCTCTCTTTAAGGCCCTTGCCACTGATCAGGCAATATAGAAAGAGATCGAGAGTAGGTTTTTTGGCAGTATCAAAAGCAGAATCAGACTGCTAGTTTGGTCAATTGAGAATACCAAACCATAGTGTTAGGCCTATGACCCCTCAGTCTTACTTCTGAACTATCTTACACTCTTTTGTATATATAAACTATGGGACCTTTTGGGTTAGTGCTAGGACATGGGTTGTAATTACTGAGCGGGCCAGCCAGTAGGTGCCCTCTTGAGGTTTTATTGCTGCTTTTGACCAGGGGTCTTAAAGGCAAGGTTAAGGTTTTAAGTCCTCATTATGTCGGTGCTGTCTGCTTGTGACGGCTTCTTGACAGAGCACAGGATCGCCAGTCGTCCTTAATGGGTTGAGCCGCAGTGGAGAATCCCGTGTCAGAGCTTTTCATGTTGATGGAGCGGTAATGGCGGGTATCCCATGTTAGTGCCTTTCATGTCAGATAAAGGGTCATAAAGAGGAGAGAAACTGCCCTCACATGGAGTGCAAGAGAAGAGAGGAGGGAGATAAGACATGAAGGAGACACATTGCAGTAAAGCTGTCTATCTCTCTGTCTTTCTTTCTCCCTCTTACTCACACACAATTCTTTCATTCAGGTATGCCGGTATGGTATGGTACATCATGACACTCCTCCACATCTGACTACTAGCTCTGATCATACTCAATTTGCTTTTTATTGCACAATCTTTAATTCATGCACAATACACACTGTAGCGCCTGCCCTCTTCCATTCTAACACAGACTTGGCCCACACTGGCATGTTTACCAGCTGGCGTCTGGAGAACAGGCCGACTGCAGTCAGCGAGATCAGAGCCTTAAGCCTGTTACTCTCTCTTAACACACACTGTTTACATACTATAGACAGTGCGCAGTTTGTGTGTGCAGTCCTCTGTGAACGTTCTTCCTCTCCTGTCTCTTAACTAAGCCTATTTTACTAGCCTGAGAAGACCAATGATTTACCTGCTACCTCTGGCCTCTGCAACTAGCACTGCAGACACTGTTCTTTGACACACGCATGCACACATGCTGCACACATCCGCCCACCCAGTGTCACCTCCAGACTGCCATGAGTCATATAAGTGCATACAGCTACTTCAGCGCACAATAGCAGAAAATCCTCGTAAAAAAATATTGAAAAGTGATTTTGAGAATCAATGTAAGTCATTTATAAGGAAAAATAGCAAACATTTGCTCCAGCCTCCGTTTTATTTTCTGTTTTATCTTCTTAATGGAAAATCTATGGGGTTTGGAGTGTTGGCCGGACAAAACAAGTAATTTAAAGATGTCACCTAGGGCTTTGGGAAGTTGTGATGGGCATTTTTCAGTATTTCCTGTCATTTTATAGGCAAAACAGTTAATCCATAAAAAAAAAGTAAATAAACCGATTGATTAATCAGAAAAGAAATGGTTAGTTGCAGCCCTCATATGACCGAGACATTCAGCCCCATTTTGAGCTAAGGAATGGAAGTTGGTGGTGATGGCGTGACCTTGAAGCAAGGCTAAACCTCTGGCGATATACAGGTCATGAAAGAGGGTTTTAGCATGTCGAAACTTCATGGGAAATAACAGAGACCTGTATCCCCCACCTCCGACCCCCTCATCCCCCACTTTCCACATCCCTGGGTGCGATATAAAGTTATATGCTCTGTTCCAACCAGGAGATGGCACCCTACCCAAATAGGGCATTGTCATACTCATGAGGTTTATGTGTGTGTGTGCAAGAGAAAGTATTATGGATGACATCAGCTTAGCTCTATGTCCAACTCTTAATAGTTATTCTAATATAAAGGTAAAATAGAGAATACTTTCATACCTAATTTTAATTAAGAAAAAAAACAACTTCCGCTGTTTCAGACAGACTAAACAATAATAAATCATATTTATATTATATTTTATTATTATGATTGAGTATGTCTCGTATATACACTTTATTGAACTGACTTTAAAAAAGGCACTGTCCATTCAAATGTATTTTATTCCCTGAGGATAACAACACCCTCAGCACAGACTTGCTGTGATCTCCCATACTCTTAAACTTTTGCAGACACAGCCTGTTCTTTTTGTGGTTTCTGTATTTGTTTTTATTTTTAATTTAGATTTTTCTTTTGATATAAACTGAATCCTTTCGTGTATGTGTGGTGTGTGAGGTGGCGTTTTTACACAGAAATGTGTGTGTGTATGTTGTGTGCGTCACTAGAGGTTTGGCAGGCAACCGTGGGATCTGAATAGCGGGAGTCATAACCCTTTTTAAAAAGAGCAATCAAAAAAACTTTCACTTTCTTCTCATGGGCATCCTGCTGGCTTTCATTCTTGCACATTGACCAGTGTCTTGGCTTTAGCCCTGCCTGACCCAGCTGTGTCCTGTTATACATACATACACACACAAACACACACACACACACATCCATACAGAGTTGTAATCTCTGTGCAAACGCTTTCCTGCGTAGACACAGTTATATTAGACACTGGTTCTTCAGGCATGCTAACATTTGCTTGCACACACACACTTCTACCACTGTCTGGTGTCATTAAAAGCGTCCGCATGCAAAGTTGACCCACAACAAAACAAGCTCTGATGTCACAGGCCCAGGGTGTTGGCACAGCGATGGCAAAAATAGGAGGTCTGGCTAACAAGCGGCGGGGTCGTTAGCAGTAATTACCCAGAATGCCTGTGTTTGTGTCTGTGTGCCCATGGTGGGCTGCCACATTGCTAACGGACGATGGCTTTAAAAAGGCCCTAAAAAACCTTTCATTGTGTTTTTCCCAGCGCTGGGAAAGTTAGCTATCGCTTCAAATGAAAGCAAGAAGGGGCCTAGCTGTTGTGGGACCATGGGTACTCAGGCTAATGTTGCTTGTTTGCGAGGTCTTATAATCCTCAGCTAACTACCTATTTAGGCTGAGTCTCAACACCACTCTAATCATATCCATACCACATAAAGTGAAGCCTGAGTGTTGCAGTGTGTCATTTGCCGACAGTTGGAACGTCATCCTACAGCCTGTAGGAGCTTGTTCAAGCCAAGGCTGGCACCAGTTGGTTCGTCAGTCACCGCTGCCAATCCACTCCTTTGCTGACTGATAGCTCTATTTCTCCCTTTGGGCCCACAGCGCCTGGGGCATCTTCCACAGAGATCAATTTTGATATGGCTTACACATAACAGAAAGTCAATATTAGTTTGAAGTTCACTGGTTGCCTAAAGCTGTGTGTTGAACATTAAAGGTTAATTCTTTGGAAATAATAGTTCGACAAAACAATCCGTTTTCTGGAGCTATCACACAGTCTTCTAACTACAATTTCTTGGATTAAGCATAAACTCTTAGTCCCCCCCTCCACTTGGATGTTTGAGCTTTACTGTGTAGACTGATGTCGGTGCAGAGTTTGACACTAGAGGGCTGTTTTGACATTAATCTGCTGAAGGGGGAAAGTTTCTCTTTGCCCACCTTTAATTTGAGTTTAAGACATGGATGTATGAGTAGGATTTAGTGACATTACAACTAGTTTAGAAACCAACTGTGGTCCAAAATCCAACTCACACAAGTGTGAGGTGCACATACACTATGACTTTTCAGTGAAGTAGTAGACATTTTGTGTCAAGTAGCAAAACTTTTTGGATATTTCAGTGAGAAAGACTAGATTTAAATAGATTTAATTGTAGCATAATTGAACTTTTTGTGGTAAAACCATATCACGCATTATCATTCTAAGTATTTTTTATACTAATCTTAAAACGTGCCTTAAGGAAATCTTGTGGTCCCAAAAAGTCTCTTTGTTGGCAGCACAAGCTTAAATCACAAAGTATTTACAAGGACTATTTTCTCAATTAATTAATTTATTGTTTGGCCTAAAATATTGAAAAATGTCCATGGTGGTCAAATAGTTTGTTTTGTCCAACCAGCTTTCCAGAGAACCCCAAGATATTCAGTTAATTATCACAGAAGATGAAGAACAGCAGCAAATTCTCACACTTGAGAAACTGGAATAAGATAATTTTCACTTTTAATACAATAAATAGATTTTCAAAATACGTAGTTGCCAATGAGTTTTCTGTCGATCAGTTAGTTGACTAATCACTGCAGCTCTAGTATTAACCCTGTTCTGTTGTCAGCTCCTTGTTCCCTCATTCACTATTCCCTTCATAATAAACGTGTGACTGGATGTTCATTTACTCTATCGTCAGCAGTAAATTAAGATCTTGGAACTTATGAATCATCGTCATTTTTGTGACATCAAGTGTAGTGATGCATAACTGTAATTATAATCTATCAAAATCAGTGCATTTCATTGTGGGTTTTTTTTTTTAGCAGAAGTAAAGTACATACTACGGATAGTTTCTTGTTCCATTGTGGGACTTTTTGAGGGAATTTGACTCTCAGGCTAGCAAATAGGGAGTGATTTTAGATGCCTAAGACTTGCATGAACCCAAACAACAGTCCAGTTTGTCATTGTAAAACCTGCCACTGGTATATCTGGTCAAAGAATGGTTCAGCAGGGCCAACCTAATCCAGTCTGAGAAAGGGATTAATTGAGAAGGTGAGTCTGGGAGTCTGGAGGCCGTTTAGTGAAGGTTAGTGATGATTCTCTGACACTGAGTTGAGGAATCAGGTTGGATGGGCAGGGGGTGGTGCACTCACAGTCTGTCATGTTGATGGCTTACCACTACTAGAAAGCGTCAGTCGTCCAAAGACTAGATTAGCATAACAAGCCTCTCACTGACGGGTTCTGGTGAAATAGAGGGGGGGATTGGGGGGGACGGGTGAGTGGGAGGGTGTAGGGCGTTAAAGT